TTTGATACTGTCGGCACCTAACAAATCTAATTATGTCTATGGTTAGCTTAAATATTTATTATCTTCCACTTCTTTTCAAGAATCTAAAACTGAATTTTAACTTTATTTTGCGTAGTATAATGCTAATATAAGTGTTTCCATGATAAAATTAACATTTAAACTCTGTGCAAAAAATAAGTTATCAGACCGGAAAACTATGATATATGTAGTTCTTCCAAAATCGTCACTGAACGAGGTTTGTCTTTGGTTGAATTGTGATTGTACCCGTGTACCTATCTGATACTTCGTCTAAACTTATGTTCCTCTGATTTTATCGCATAATCGTTAATTCTGTAACGAATAGGTTACAACGAGTAAACGGATTTTATAGTTTCGTTGTAAATTATATTCTGTAGTTATTTTATGAATTTCGACGAACTTCGATGAAAATAGATGCTATTATATATATTTATATATATATATATATATATATATATATATATATATATATATATATTATATTATATTTTGAAAAATGAATTTAATATGTAAAATTTGCAATAAGAAAATGGCCTTAATTTATTGTAGTGTCGTTAAACACAACGGTCTCACACAACACTCCCTCATCTTCGACTTAGCTTATCCCTTTTAAATTATTACTTCTTGTACCTACTATTAGTTATTCAGTGCTATTACCATAACATTTGAAACGATAAACACAACTAACCGGGACCCAATAACTTAAACAATTTACACGATTCTAAAACCGGACTCAACAATTCGTAATGTTAAACTAATAAATGGTTTAAGACAATACATGTTTTGATAACACCTTACGTCGTTATTTATATAGCATTGCTAACGACATCTATAATAACATAAGCTGCCTGATGTAACCACTAAACCGAGAACAATTCGATTATAACCAATATTTTATATCTCATAAATAATCTTTACCGATCTTTAATCTTTATTATTTGAGTAGTAAAAATATTTTTTGCATATTTTGAAATCTTCCATTTAATACGCTTTATATTAACTTGACCTGTAGGGTGTCTGTATACATACATAGATGTATGAATGTAATGAAATTTTGTAATCCAGATTTAGCTCTACATGTCTGAATAATCTCAAATTCACACTAACATCGTCATAGCTCATAACCTTGTGCTTAAGTTTTCTTAAACAATATTTATATTTCTATTTAAATAGAACGTGTTATATATAATAATATAAAAATATTCAAAATCTTAAAAAAATGTTTTAAAACTGGATTAAAACGTCATGTCATTTTAATCCAGCTGTAACCGTCATATGAGGAAAGGATTTCATTTTATTGTTTCAAATCACGTTTTAAACCTAAAATTATAAGGAAAACCAATTATATCCGAAAAAGGGTCCGCAGATCGCATTTCTAGTGCAAATAAACGATCTAAATCTAAAGTAGAAGCTTCGACGCGAAGTTCAAATAAGGTATCACCATTTTTGGAGTCCATTAAAAAAGCATCTCGACGTCGGTTACGGTAAAGCTGACGCAGTCGTGACCAATGTCCGTAGCACAGAGCAACCATGAAGCAGCGGCATAGAGCCTGCGGGACTACGATCTCAAATAGACAAGGGCCGATGAACCCCCGCACCTGTCACTACGGTTGCCGCAGCCCCTCATGATTTTTTCCCATTGGACTTCCGTTCCGCAGTTTTTGCCGACCTGTCGATAACCTGTCTGATAACCGCGGACACGGCTCATTAGCGGAATCGTTCCCTGCGATGTTGATTGGTGTGAATCGTTTAAGGTTGCTCGGGCTCAGTTGTTGCACGGCGATATCTCGATGAGATAATTCGTTGCACTTGAATAAATCTCTGTCCGCGCGCTGCGATGTCATTGACATTGTACGACTTCCAAGAAACGGCGGCAATTAACTATGTAAATTGAAATGAAATGCCGAAATTGAAATTTACATAAACGTGAAATTAGGTTTTCTCTATCGAAAAATTGAAACTAATACAATTTTATAATATCTTCTTATATCTGTCTAAGGTATTCATTGCATTGTGTGCTTTTAAGATGAGGTAAAAAAGAATCTATACCATTGTATGATTTCAACTTACATTGACGTACAATACTTCTTTTCATTATTATTTTTTATTAAATAGCGTTATATATTTGAATAATTTTTAATATTTTTTTATTGAATAATAGACAATAACAAACGACAAACCAGCATACAGTCCACCTGTTAGTAAGTGGATGCTGTGGCCCATGGATATCTACATTTATCCTCGATTAAGAATCAAAATCCAGATGCGTTTACACCTGAGGACTAAGATTGAATGCCTCGTTTCCAGTAAACTTGTCTCCGGTTCTCTACACTCACCATACGAAACATACATAGCGGCTTAATGCTGCTGATTAAGCTGCTATTATAATGTTAAGCTGCTATTATAGGCTGCTGTTCTGTGTGAGCGTGGTCCTAACCCAGTAGAGCCGACCCATTCGTGATACAACCCTAATATAGTGGAACTACATTGAGTTGTATCACGCTTGGATCTACCACGAAAAAAACTAAATTATACTACGAGGATTATACATGTTTAAATGTTTATTTAAAATGGTTTTATGTTCTTTGTTAAATTTAACTCTTTCAAAGAATTTAAATATGACTTCGTAAGTATACAAATATTAATATAAATTAATATGAGCTAGGAAAACTAAATTTTTTGTTATGTTCGCTTATCGAACACTATGCAACTAGTTTGTTTTATATGTAGATTGTTTTGTTTCCTGCATTTTATATCTTTTACCTGCGCTCGCTGTCGCACTTGAGTAAACATTACGACAAAAATGCAAAATGGTACAACTCTTTGTTGTTTTTTTTTTGTTTTAAGCAAAGTACTCACCTTCCAACCGGCAATATTTAATGATATGAGAAGTACATAAGAGCAGAATAATGATGAGTTTAAATATAGTAATAAATGCTTTTATCAAAGGGAAGGTTTAACAACGCTACTATCGTGGAGATGAATGCTTTTTGTGTCGATGGATCCAGCAGTTGGCTCAGGATTAAATTTGTAGTAATCTTTGCATTTATGATATGGGCTATAATGATGGTGAAGATTGAAATTTTATATCATTTATGGCGGTAATTCTTGGGCAATTAATTACGTATAATTTTATTTTATTAGAAATAGATGATTATTAAAGACACTAATGATCATAGTTAGTAGTAAAAACGGTTTGCTGAATAAATTTTACACTTTTATTAAATATACTCACTCGTTCATCGAATTATACAATTATTTATTAATCTGTATATGTGTTTGATTTGATATAACACATGCAAATGATATAGAGTTATTTGAGATTTTTGGTATGTGGTATGCTTCACACGCTAAGAAAGTGTAAGCTATCAGGTGTTAATACATGGATTATGGCTGCAGGATGAATGGCCACGCTAATAGCATAAAATAGCTATATGGAAAGGGACGAGAACTATAGACCCTTTTTACTGACATCTTAGTTTTAAAGGGTTATAAAGCGACATCTGTGGGCAACAGAATCCAATTACTATCAAATGGATCTCTATGTATCTTAGTTACCTTTTCTTGTATAAAAAGGTAGAATAAGCCCAAAATTATATGTTCTTTAACATACTCGTTGAATGTTAAACTCGAATGATTTTTTATTTATGTTTTAAATTCTGATCGGTACCTCCCTCTTTGTAGAGATTTTTCAAGTTATCGATCCGTGGTAGATCTTGACGTTAACAAGAACTTAAATATGACTAAAGTGATATTTTTTCCTTTCCGAATAATTACCTAAATATAATTATAGCGTAAGCGTGTGGTGCTAAGTATCACTAAAAAGGAGTTTTTGAATTCCTTTTGAATGGTACCGTACACAAAAAAAAATCGTTTTCTCGTAGACTATTTTTATAATTAAATTCGGCATACTCGTAATGTGCAAGTGATTTTTATAGAGTCATCGTGTGGGGTGTGTCAATCACATAGAATCTACATTAAGCGCCATTTCAAAAGAAATAAAAATAATATAAAAATAGTATTAAGATAAATATTTTAGAATTGTGTAACCGCGTTATTCATTTATGAAAAAAAATACAAGTGCATACCGCTGATATAAAAAACCTATATTATACTCAGTCAAAAGAATCGTTTGGTAATAAGCAACTATCTATCCTAATAATTTATCTAAGACGTTGAAGGACAAACTGTCTAATTGTACAAGTGTACCTTGCATTTGATCAGTTTCTTTTTTATTTTAGTAATAGAGTAGTATTTATTTTTTATCAGTAAATAATTAGATTAATTTTTTTATATATAGAAATTACGCTATTGAAAATCTTTTTCTCTTTTTTATTTTAAATCATTATTTGAACAAAACTCTACCTGAATATACAATTTCGATGTCTTGAAAACACTAACAATGCTCTTAAATACGTATCAAATTCCATAACCCAAGCAATGTAATTAAAAATATAATAGTTATTCGAAGGGTTGTGGTAAGAAGGAGGCATTGTACTTTAATGAAAGCTGAACAATGAAGGTCGAGGACCCGTAGGTCACAACAGCCGACTTACAGCGACAACCAGGCCTCGAGTGTGGGTGATACGCGCTTACATAATAACTTCATACCTTCTTCTTATACTTCTAAACAATACTGAATATTATGTTACCTACGACCAACTGACATATTTTCTTTTAAACTTGTGAACATTTCGCTGTTATACAGTGTCGAAAATATATAACGCGATTATTAAAATAACCTGTAATAGGTCAACATATTAAGCCACTACAGAATTCTGTATATATATATTAGAATATAAAAATCCAATATACTATAGTCTTTTGAATTTTAAGCAAAAACCTAATCTTAAATTTCCCGCTTCAATCGATCGTAGCTCTTTTCATCTTTCATCCATCATATTAACACTTAACACTCAATAAATCAAAATTTACCAAAAAGGTAACCGAACGCTTGGTTAAATTTAATTATAAAAAAGTACCTTTTATGGGAGCGATGCTAGCTGCAAGCAGCAGGAGGCTGGTGGCGAGGATGAGCTGCATGTTGTCAGAGTCGTGTCTTCTAGAGATTGAGATATGTGTAGACACTTGCAAGAGTGCGCTCACGCAACATAGGACACACGGGCACACTGAGCACGCGCTACCCGGGACCCTCCTTATAACAGTGACGCGTCCCGCGCGCACCACTGCTGAAACAACGGTCCCGTTTCTACGTCTATTGTGAACGACGCCGCTTACATCGCCGTCTACGACTAAATCTATTGCACGCGTCGCCTATCTAGTGAGCAATGGAAACGTTGCAATATCTTGTGACCGCTAGCGAAGCGCACGGCGCGTCATTCGCGGACGTCCGGCGGGCGGCGGACGCTCGGCGCCCGCGCTCCTCCGCACGGGAGTTATCTCAAATCGTACCGCGCAATAGTTTGCGTTTGCGGTCAATTTGTTCTTGTTGCGGTCGACGCAAATTCTTCACTTGTCCAAAGGGTTGTCGTAGTTTTTTCTCGGTTCAAGACGCGACGCGGGATCTTTAAGGGTGTGCCGTGTGCCTTTGTTGTATCTCCCATTGAACATCGTGAACATCCCGACTGCAATTATTGCATACATACTAATTTATTCTTGCAACGTCTGATGCGTGCACTGAAAATTCCTTTAGAATGGTTTTATGGGTTCATAAAGTGGTGCCAACGCAGTGAGCTCGAACTGTCTTTTAGCAGTCTTAAGTTTCGTTAACCGAAGGTAATGTTTATTTGTATCTTATAAAACACTTTTTGGTGTACACACACGTGGTAGAACCAACCGGTAGTTGCAGCACGAATGTGTTGTTCGGGGAAGGACCACGCTCTCACCGAATACCAGAGTAAAATGGGAGTTTAATGCTGCTGTGTTTTGTATGGTAAGTGAAGAGATCCAAATACCCTTTTTACTGGAAAGGAGGCATTCCATCTTAGTCCTCGTCGGTGACAACGCATCTGCATTTTGATTCTTAATTAAGGATAGACGTTGATGTGCATGGACCACAGCATCCACTTACTATCAGGTAAGACCTGAGATCTTAGTTGTTTGTATATACTTATTTTATATATCCATGTTATTTATACACATATCTTAGAATTTAAAAAAAACCTATAGTGAGGACGCGAAGTACGATATCACTTATCGGAAAAGCGTGGCGGTTTCTTCATTGCTACTAAATCCTCTTAGTAGACTTGAGATGGGCTGTAATGATGATGATGAACTCTAACTCTTTCTTCAACTATTTTAGGTAGATAGGTAGATATTCATTAAAAGAAATTTCAAGTACTCGTATTTAAAACAAATATTTATGGTTCTCTAACAATATCTAACAAAAGACAAAGAAACTTAAATTTCATCCTTTTTTATTTTTGTTATAAAAGTAAGGGCGACAAAGGAGCATACAGAAACAGATTTTTTTATTCAATATAGATTATAAATAATACTTATGGAAAGTCACTCTTTTGTTTAATTACCACTGGTTCGAAAAAAACCTCTGTCCTGGGAAGAACCAGCAAGAAACCCGGCGGGACTTTTTTTTTTTAATAACAGCTTACAATCATGTATGTTAACACAACAAATTAGTAGTAGCTTGATAGCGATCACCTTATTACCAGGTTATTATCACCTATAAAGTCCTTAATATTATAATAACCCTTTTTATACAAACTTAGTTTAATAAAGTTTTTAAGCAGGTCAAAAGGTACAGCTAAGCAGCACAACGCCTAATGATAAGTGGATACTGTGACCCATAGACATCTACTTTTATCATTGAATAAGGATGAAAATGCGGATGCGTTGGCACTCCCGAGGATTAAAATGAAATGCCTCGATGCCATTACAAGGGTAACTGTAAGAACGTGGTCCGTGGAACAGTAACAAGGGTAACTGTAAGAACGTGGTCCTTCACCGGTAGAGCCGACCGGTGTCGACCCTTAATACAGCCAAAACGTAGCTCTACCACTTGCAAAACCTTTGCAAATTGATTGGGAATCTTAGAATATGATCAGTACTTTTTTGTAGAATAAGGGTGACAAACGAGCACACAGTCCACCTGATGGTAAGTGAATGTGGCCCATAGACATCTACATTTATCCTCAATTAAGAATCAAAATTTAGATGCGTTGTCACCCCTGAGGACTGAGATAGAATGCCTCGTTTTTAGTAAAAAGGGTTTCTGGTACTCTATACTCACCATACAAAACACGGCAGCATTAAGCTGCTATATTATGCTGGTATTCTGTGAGAGCGTAGTCCTACCTAGACTGGTATACAGTAATCTGTGGTCCTACCCCGGCCGAACCGACCCATATCTTACTATTAAATTGTAGTAATTCAAATAAAACTATAGGAAACGTCGGGAATTAAAAAGTTAAATTAGTCGCGATAAAATCCGTAAAAATTAGTTTCAGTTAATGTGTAGTCTTCGCGTAAATATAAGAAATCACTATAAGAAATGTGTTAATCGTCAAGACGTATCGCACGAAAAAGTTAATTAAGTCCAAACGCAGGTTCATTACTTAATTATTTTTTATAAACACGTATTAAGGTTTATAAAAGGCGAACGTAATGCCTTATATCTTTCTCAACCAATCAAGTCTAGTTTTATTACCAAGCCTGTACAACCATCTGAAATTAGTTTTATTTTTCAAAAAATGTAGACTCGAATTCCAGTATCGTTCATTTTTTTATAATTCACTATTCGATAACATGAGTACTATCTTAAAATAATCCATCTTTTTTTAGCATACTAGCGATCCGCCCCGGCTTCGCACGGGTGATTTCTGCACACAACGGCGCCACCTACCGAGTCCAATAGTGCATCTAAACCATCCAGAGACCGACTCAAACACAAAAGAAACTCATCAAAATCGGTCCAGCCATTTCTGAGTTTTATATTTGGAAACAAGCATTATTATTTTCTGACTTTGAGGATTTCTTTTAATCATCACACTCATTCATTATCACAGCCCATCATTAATTTACTATTGAACATAGACGGCTGATGATTGAGAATCATTGTAACAAAACATGATTTCAATCCACCCGCACACATCGACTTCCTGCAGGTCTTAACAGGTTATCACTTAGTCTAGTGGAGGGCAGCCCAACACTCCATTTACTGAGGCTTTTATTAGGCACTAGCTGTTCCCCGCGACTTCGCCCGCGTGTAATTTAGGGTTTTAATTATATTGCGCGGAACCCTAAATCTTTATCTAAAATATAAGTAGCCTAAGTTACCCCTTATACCATCGGCTATCTGCCAGTGAGGCTATCCCATTAAAATCGGTCCAGCCGTTTCAGAGATTAGCTGGAACAAAAAGACAGCTTTTTGTTCCAGACAAAAATTTTAGAAATTGTGTTTTTGTTATATGTACCGTATATACTTTCATATGCATTTAGTAAAAAGCTGTTATTTTGATATTACAAACATACACTTCAATTTTATTTATTTGTATCTATAGATTACTTAAATAAAAAAAAACAATCTTAATAACTTATTCCAATGTTTGAAATTTATTTCTTGGAATATCGTACCTTCTTAACCTAAAACCCCCATATAGTGCAGTGCATTAATATACAATTTCCTTTAATCTTCGACAATAAGTGAGAGTTTATATAGTACAATATTTCATTTCTCTGTATTCGTTTCGACTTCACATGTTCATAAAAAGGACAATGGCAGCAGGCGATCCGCAGGTGTTGACCTCAAAAATAATCTTATGAGAAACAAAATAATGAGAAATAATGTACAATATACTTAAGATTAAAAAGAATAAAAATGTAATCAAACAAAGACCTCTAGCAACTAACGCAAATAGCGTTTTACTTTCACCCTATTTACGGAAGGTTTGTAACATTTTTTAAATGTTCTGTATCATGAAATAATAAGAAAAAGGGAGCATCGAAGCCATTTGTCAGAATAAAAACATTGTGAAATTTTCACAATGCTGATGTTCAGGCCTCGAAGCCGTTAGTCAGCCGCGCTGCTCTCGTGCATATTGGCAGGCATCAAATGTCCACAGATATTTCTCGAAGGTTGTTTCGCGATATTTCCATCGCAGCTAAGCATGTGGTAAATTAGCACTTAAAAATGTATTAACAATTTCATTAGTGCCGGCGGCGATCGAATTCTGGTAGCTCGCGTGCTATGAAATTTATGACATGCGCTCGGCCCCTGTGGCTCAAAGTTATCACGTTTATTTATACAGATATTTACATGTACACAAAATAATGTCTTGATTCAATAAGTGATAAGGATTCCTAATTTAATTAATAACTATAATTAAAAATTTTAAAAAACTCCCGTAACAAAACGAGCTGGTGATCTTCAAACGGCTGAACAGATTTTCTTGAAACAGCTAAGAACACGCACGATTAATACACCTTACAAAGAAAAGAAAACTTAATCAAAATCCATTCATCAGTTCAGGGGCTATGATGCCACAGACAGACACACATACACACAGGCACACAGATACACACATACACACAGGCACACAGATACACACATACACACAGGCACACAGATACACACACACACAGGCATACAGATACACAGATACACACAGGCACACAGATACACACACACACAGGCACACAGATACACACATACACACAGGCACACAGATACACACATACACACATACACACAGGCACACAGATACACACACACACAGGCATACAGATACACAGATACACACTACAAACTTATAACATCCCTCTGTTTTTGTCGGGGGTTAAATCTTAAACGAATACATTACTTATTGCTTTTAGAATATAGTTTCGAATAATAAAATAAAACAATAGTTTGTAAAAATGTTAAGGGAAAGATATAAAATACCAAACTTTTACTACATACTAGCTGTTCCACGCGATTTCGCCCGCGTGTAATTTAGTGTAATTATATTGCGCGGAACCCTAATCCTTATTCTAAAATAAAAGTAGCTTAAGTTACTCCTTATAATATCAGGTATCTGTCGGTGAAAGTCCTGTCAAAATCAGCCCAGCCATTTCGGAGATTAGTCGGA